GTTGTTGTTGTTGCTGTTGCTGTTGCTGTTGTTGCTGCGGTTGCACAGCTTCCATTGATAAACTGTGCAGCAATATCTGAAATACACATTTACACCTCCGACTACACTCCTCCGTTTATCCGCTTATTCAGCGTCCTTTGTCTGCGGCCTCTGAGGGTGAAACAGTAGACCGAACAGAGTGTAATGAAAAACCAATTAGCTGCTTTTGGCACCGAACACTCGACACACTCGTCCCACCTGAGACCGGCTTCGCATTAATTCTCCTCCCCGCCGCGGCCTCAAGGCCTCGTCCAGGCTTTTAACTGCTTCTCGCCGCCCGTGTGTGTGTGGCTCTCTTATTAAAAGACGTGCTGACACGGCAGAGCATCTATTGCTCTGGCTGGAAATATTACGAGTCCTGGACGAGCTGCTGCTGCTCCGTTATTACCTCCATCCCGGCTCCCTCTCGCAGAGCCGAGGAGAGCACAGACACTGGTGGAATAGGAGGCTGATTGTGATTGATGGCTTCCCATTAGCAAGTCTGTTATCGCTCCGGCTGGGGGGAACGACCACTGAGTTGTAACACAACACATTACCTGACTCTCTCTCTCCCCCCCTCCTGCAGCCCCCAGCCGAGAGTCGCTTAAATAAAATATAGACCCTCTCTCCGAGATCCTCATTCCCCGCTCAAGGCGCTCCGACTGTTATCCCGTCAGCTGTGATTTGCTGAGCATTCCCACTCAATAAACACATCATTAGTATTCATATTAACTGCGGTTGGAGATATCTGCACTCCGGGCCTGGAAGTCCTGATTGTGGATGCATCCGCTCAAGCTTCACCAAGCTTTACCTCCTCCCCTCCTTCTCTTCTTCTTCCCCTTTCTCTTTTGGTGCTCCCTGTCAGAATGATTGATTGGGACCAGGGCACCGAGTGTCCTGCATTACCCCAACAAATGATCTGGCCCTTGCTGGCAGACCTTGGCCAGAAAAGAAATCAATATTTCACCATTAAAATCTATCAGAGGAGAGTTAGGGCAGCGGCTGTCAGAGGCGACGCTATCAAGCCACCGCAACATTAAACCTGACACCTGCAGCACATGAGTAATCAATATCCAGCGGCTCACAGATCATTCGTGGTCACCTTTTAAAGCAGTGATGGATGTCTCCCGGGGCAGTGATTCATGTTGTGACACCGTTTAACGGGGTTTTATTCCAGTTTAGACGGTCATCCCTCAGAGACGAGCTGGAGATGGAGCGCCGTGGTTCCCCCCGCTAACACCTATTTCATGGCGTTCGGCCTGTCCTCAGCGATTACGGCGAGCCTTTTATAGGTTTTGTGCCCCACTATGTGTGAAAAACACGCAAGTGAGTGCAAGGTCAAACTTTATGAGCTCCAGTGGCGGAGGAGAAGGAGCTCGCTAAGTTTTACACGAGGTGTCGAAAAAGGTGGCAGGAGGGTTCGGGGCAGGAGGCCGCTGGCGGCGGTTTATATAAAGAATCAGACGGTAAAAATGTAAATTAGTGAGTTAAATGTTAAATCTGGTTCTGGTTTACATGAAAGTCCAGATTAAATCACTTTTAGATCCTTTTATCCTCATATTGTTCCCATATTTAACAACAAAATTACAATTTCTTTGTATTTTTATATAAGCTTCAGGATAAATAATCCAGCTGTTTGCTCCAGTTGGATCCAGTGGTTGGTTAGTTGGTTGGTTGGTTGGTTGGTTGGTTGGCAGCCGCCTCGTAGATCTGCAGGGTAACTCTGGATGAAGGTTTATACCTGAATCATCATATGTCGGATTATTAAAGGACGAGTATCAAAGTGACCAAAACAAAGAAATAAAGTAGGAGCAGGTGCTGCGCCGCGATTGGCTCCCTTCAGTGTTTCCTCCTCAGCAGATATCTGGGAGCTCTCAACCTTGCCTCCTGACCCTCATTCTGCGAGAGGAGATAATTGCTTGTCAGGAATAAATAGAGAGATTAATGAATTCATTAGCGGTGGGGAGTTTAGCTCTTCGGAGCAGCACTTACCGCTATGACACATCACGCCTATTGTTTTACTAGCTAGTTAGCCTTGAACAATAACATTCACACAGCAAATTGCCTCATACGCTCGTGTAAACCACAGAGAAACTGTGTCCTTATCCCCGAATTTAGCAATAATGCAAACAAAAGGCTCCTTAAATCCCGATTATTCATCTTAATTACGTTTGTCTATAAGAGCCGGTGTCTGCGGGAGCCGCTGCGAGACAGGACGCATTAATCCACATTAGCCGTGAACACTGTACCGGTTGATGTGTGCGGTTTCACTGTGGCACTACAGTTTGTGCCAGATAGGTACTATCTCCACTTAATTAACTGCAGCTCTAAAGAGTTTAAAGGCTTCAAACACAGACGGCGAAGCTTCAAGTATAAAGTATATGTAAGTATCTGTTTCTGATTCAAAGTCAGAGGTTTCTAATAAAAAATAATGTTGTTTGATTCTTTGACTTAAAGCTCCAGTGTGAAACATTATTGTCAGAAATATAATATTCACAGGTATGTTTTCATTAGTGTTTAATCAGCTGAATATAACAGGACTGTGAAACCTGAAGAGTTTATTAACTTAAACTGTTCATTAACTTAATTTAAACATGAAAACATATTCATTGTTGAGGTATTGAGGATAAATTAAGTTAACTGAAGCTGAAACCAAACTTATTTAAACTGTAAACAGAATTTATCTGATT